CCCGTGAAATTCTCGAGCCAAAAGATGGATGCATATGCTGTGTTTCATTTTGCTAAATGATATCAATTAAATGGTGTATCAATTCCATAAATTGCATATAGCAATAAATAAATCAGCAAAATTCTTTCTAATATTTTAGATAGAAGAAATGTTTCTTCTATCTAAAATATTAGAAAGAATTTTGCTGATTTATTTATTGCTATATGCAATTTATGGAATTGATACACCATTTAATTGATATCATTTAGCAAAATGAAACACAGCATATGCATCCATCTTTTGGCTCGAGAATTTCACGGGATAGAGATATGGTATAAGAAATAGACTATTAAGTAACTCTAAATGAATTGTGGATACATCTGTATCCTTAACATACTGAAACGATTGTCATTATTCGTATCAAACCAATAGCGATTCATACAAGCTAAATCTTCTAATCAATGGTGGGCCAATAATGCATTTTTTTGCATATGTATTAAGACGCTTGGCCTGATTTCGAAATTGTCCAGAGTTTTATATGTTGTTTTCATTGCAAAATGATGGGTCTCCTTCCAGAACTTTCCAATTACGAGTACGAGAATTGAAAGACATGAAAATTCTCAATTCTCTACGGCGTCTAGTAGATAGAAACAAGAAAATCAGAAGAATCTTTCTCTCTATTCACTATCATTCCGCGTCTTCGACTTCTATTAGTTTCTTTTCTTCTTTAATGCAATAGCTATAGTTTGATATAAGAATCCATTTCTCAAAGTAATGGAAACCATTCTCTTATAGGAAATGGTTCGAAAATCGCTATTCCACCTTTTAGGTATCGTGAAAAGGGATACCTGTGAAGATCGTGCATTTCAGTCAAATTCAGATCCGTTTTTCGAGTCCATGATATAATATAACCAAATTGGATAGATCTTCCACCTGTTTAGCTAAGAAAGAATAGATACAGAGGTGGATAATAGATCGATATGAAGATCATGAGCTGCCCCATAATGAAATCGCCAGTAGTCGCGAATATCTCCTTCTTCCCTAATCCAAGATTGGAGAAAGAAGATCTAAGAGGGACCTATGGAGAATGTAGTCAGAAATCCATAATAGAGTCCGACCACAACGACCGAATTAATTATCCTCATCGAGAAACTTAGACTACTAAATAGAAAAGATTTGAAAATCATGGCATGGGTCTCCTTTTTTTCTTTCTTTAGAGTTTTCTATATGCACAATTTCTCGATGTTTCGATGAGAATTTCTTGACTTTCCATATATAGAAAGAGATAGACTATAAATGACATCTCTTATGTCAATAAGACCAAAGGGATGATATTAAATGATAGGAAGTGCTAGGAAGTGAAATAGAATGAAATAGAGCCACTTTGGGCTTCCCTATGAAATGAGGCATGGAACGGAGCCACTACGAAGAAATTATGGGAGTTACGAAAGAAGCTTCGGACTCATATTGTTCATGGGTTGAGAGCGGGAGTTGAACTCTAGGAGGTCGAATCCCCCCTTGTTCCTCAGTAGCTCAGTGGTAGAGCGGTCGGCTGTTAACTGACTGGTCGTAGGTTCGAATCCTACTTGGGGAGATTTTATTCATTCTTTAATGTAAGAATTTTAATGTAAGAATAAAGAATTGAATTAAAGGGCTTGCTTTGACCCTTAGGAGTAGGTAACCCGTTCGCTATCCTTGTTTCTATTTCTATTGCATTCTATCTCATCGTATCACATTCTGTTCTACGATTCCACTTCGACAAAAGGAAAGAGCATACCTAAGTTCAATAGCTTTACGTCCGCTATCCCGATCATGATTTTCCTACCCTCAGGGGGAAGGGCCTTTACTTTCCCCCTGAGGGTAGGAAAATCATGATCGGGATAGCGGACGTAAAGCTATTGAACTTAGGTATGCTCTTTCCTTTTGTCGAAGTGGAATCGTAGAACAGAATGTGATACGATGAGATAGAATGCAATAGAAATAGAAACAAGGATAGCGAACGGGTTACCTACTCCTAAGGGTCAAAGCAAGCCCTTTAATTCAATTCTTTATTCTTACATTAAAATTCTTACATTAAAGAATGAATAAAATCTCCCCAAGTAGGATTCGAACCTACGACCAGTCAGTTAACAGCCGACCGCTCTACCACTGAGCTACTGAGGAACAAGGGGGGATTCGACCTCCTAGAGTTCAACTCCCGCTCTCAACCCATGAACAATATGAGTCCGAAGCTTCTTTCGTAACTCCCATAATTTCTTCGTAGTGGCTCCGTTCCATGCCTCATTTCATAGGGAAGCCCAAAGTGGCTCTATTTCATTCTATTTCACTTCCTAGCACTTCCTATCATTTAATATCCAGCCCTTTGGTCTTATTGACATAAGAGATGTCATTTATAGTCTATCTCTTTCTATATATGGAAAGTCAAGAAATTCTCATCGAAACATCGAGAAATTGTGCATATAGAAAACTCTAAAGAAAGAAAAAAAGGAGACCCATGCCATGATTTTCAAATCTTTTCTATTTAGTAGTCTAAGTTTCTCGATGAGGATAATTAATTCGGTCGTTGTGGTCGGACTCTATTATGGATTTCTGACTACATTCTCCATAGGTCCCTCTTAGATCTTCTTTCTCCAATCTTGGATTAGGGAAGAAGGAGATATTCGCGACTACTGGCGATTTCATTATGGGGCAGCTCATGATCTTCATATCGATCTATTATCCACCTCTGTATCTATTCTTTCTTAGCTAAACAGGTGGAAGATCTATCCAATTTGGTTATATTATATCATGGACTCGAAAAACGGATCTGAATTTGACTGAAATGCACGATCTTCACAGGTATCACTTTTCACGATACCTAAAAGGTGGAATAGCGATTTTCGAACCATTTCCTATAAGATAATGGTTTCCATTACTTTGAGAAATGGATTCTTATATCAAACTATAGCTATTGCATTAAAGAAGAAAAGAAACTAATAGAAGTCGAAGACGCGGAATGATAGTGAATAGAGAGAAAGATTCTTCTGATTTTCTTGTTTCTATCTACTAGACGCCGTAGAGAATTGAGAATTTTCATGTCTTTCAATTCTCGTACTCGTAATTGGAAAGTTCTGGAAGGAAACCCATCATTTTGCAATGAAAACAACATATAAAACTCTGGACAATTTCGAAATCAGGCCAAGCGTCTTAATACATATGCAAAAAAATTCATTATTGGCCCACCATTGATTAGAAGATTTAGCTTGTATGAATCGCTATTGGTTTGATACGAATAATGACAATCGTTTCAGTATGTTAAGGATACAGATGTATCCACAATTCATTTAGAGTTACTTAATAGTCTATTTCTTATACCATATCTCTATCCCGTGAAATTGTCGAGCCAAAAGATGGATGCATATGCTGTGTTTCATTTTGCTAAATGATATCAATTAAATGGTGTATCAATTCCATAAATTGCATATAGCAATAAATAAATCAGCAAAATTCTTTCTAATAAATAATTATCCATCGGCCGACATGTAGTGTTGCCCATACTTTAAGGCATATCTAGATGTGCTTTAGTAAAATTGTTTTTTTAGGTCCTTGCGTTGGAGTTGCATGAATGAAACATTGATATACCCACGTGTGGTAGGTTGGAGCCTCGGAGGATACCACATCAGTTTGGTGGGACACTGCTTCAGTAAGGTAACTGCAGGTGCAGTTGGGTCACTGACATGCGCCATGTCAATGACCAGCTGTGCACCTACAGTTATGTCAATGGCCCTGTTTGGATCTTGTAACTCGGTTAGAGGCTAGAGTTAGATTCTACCCCTGAACTAACCCTGAATTAACTCTAACCAAAGAGGTGTTTGGATGACATGGTTAGATTGATAATAAATACTCTTTCTCAATCATTTGGCTACTTTGGTCGAGCCCTGGCCGAGAGCTGCGCTGACTGCAGACAGGGACGCGCCCGACAAGGAGCCGCGCTGGCCGCAGACGGGGACGCGCCCGACAAGGAGCCGCGCTGGCCGCAAACGGGGACGCGCCTGGCAAGGAGCCGCGCTGGCTTATCGCGCAGCCCGCCGACCGAATCCGCTGTCCCTACGCAAGGAACCGCGCTGGCCCTAGACGGGGACACACCTGGCAAGGAGCCGCGCTGGCTTATCGCGCAGCCCGCCGACCGAATCTGCCGTCCCTACGCAAGGAACAGCGCTGGCCAAGGCCGATCAGGACGGGCCGCGCAAGGAGCCGCGACTGCTTACCGGCTGGCGGACGGGCCACCGGGAGACAAGGGGGTTGGAACGGGAGGATAGGGCGGGGCTGCTTACCGGCGGCGGATGGGAGCGCGGATACGGCGAGGCACCTTCACGGGCGGTGCGAGAGGAAGGGGGATAGGACGAGAAGTTTCGATGAAGTGGGGAGGGATCTACTGCGGGAAGAGCGGGAGAAAAAAATGTTTTTTTAAAGATCTCGAGGGGAACTAACCCAAACAAACACCTATTGGGTGGGTTAGTTTTTTTGATTGGTTAGATATATCTAACCCAAACTAACCTTCCTGTTTGGATATTTTTGAGTTAGTTAAGTCTAAACTAATCCAAACTAACTCGAAGTTTGGGATCCGGCCAATGAAGCTCGGTCCGTTTGGTGGCCTCCTCTATCCCGTGACGTGCCACCCACAATCATATGCTAACCTGACGCCGTCAACTTCGAGAGGAAAAAACAGACAAAGTCGTTACCAGAAAGACCCGGCCCACAGACCACCCCCATGGTCACGAATCTCAACGCATCATTGACAGGCTTGCATACGCCCAAGTTCATACACCGCGTGCACAGCCGTGATATCTCCGCGACACCGCCGCACGACTAGCCTCGTCGTCACTGTAAAGCATAGATAAAGTCCGGTAGGTCGCGGCAGCCCTCTCAACTCCATCGCTTCCTCCGATTCCGGCGATCCAAACTGAATCCGGCCGATTCGGGGCAGGTTGAGGCGGACTGGGGGTTCGGATTCGGGGCGGTGAAGAGGAGAGCAGGGGGAGATGGACCAGGTGCTGAACAAGGTGGGGAGCTACTGGTTCAGCAAGAGGGCCAGCAAGGAGATCGACTCCATCGGCGACGACCTCAACGTACGCACTCCAATCCCTGGCCTGCATTGCGTTTACACTAGGAAGGTCTCCGCCGTCTGCGCCGACGCCTAGCCGCTAAATCGAGGATGCGCTAGACTAAATCGAGGATTATTCGCCTGGGTTTGCCATGGGATCCGAGATGTCCAGGAGGACGGATAATTTCGATCTGTGCATTGTGTTAGATTAATTCGTTTCCTTGAGCCGCGGAAATAGGATTCCATCTTTGTCTTTCGAGGGCTTTCATCTGGGCGATTGCTTCTAGATCTAAGTAATGTATTTATTGTGTCATAATTCTCCAACCAGTGTTGAAGTTCCTCGGTAATTGATTCAACTAGATTGGGTTTACACGGAAAGATGTGATTTAGCATGAACCTTGTAGGCAGGGTCTACCTGTAACCTCGCATGGGTAGTCGATTTATGTTAGGCTGTGCTAGTGCATGAATATGCATTCACCTATTTGGCCTATCTCATGCGATTTAATGTTTCCAGTACCAATGTAGACAGGATAGTATTTGCAAGTTCTTGAATGCGCACATGGTCTCTCTCCACTTTATCTTTTAGGCCATACTAAAGATGTTTAGCTTGATGTTTCTTTGCTACATGTGTATTTAAACTTGTAGTAATATTATCTTACGAAGGATGCCCATGGTTTCCTTCTTAGAGTTACAAATGGCTACTAATTGACACAACAGAAGAAACTCTTAACCACTTTCCTATAGCATAAGTATAATTAAAGAACCAATGAGTAATTATTGTTTCCAGCTCATGCTACCGGGTTAGGTAACCTCACATTCTGATTCCTGAAACTCTGACATGATTGTTAAGACTTTTGACTCAAGGAATAATCCATGAAAGACACGCAAAACCATGCTACTAAATTTTGTATACTGGAATCTAAGCTAATGAATTGTTAGAAACACACATGTCCGCAGCGATGCACATGAGTGATAATACTAGTTAACTCTGTTATGTTCTGCTGTTAGGTTTGTAGCATTGGAAGATTTTTATTTTCCAGTAATTTATCTTACTTAAATGTTTTTTCAGTATCAGTATTAATGTACTATGTGAAGCATCTCCCACTGTTTTGATGTTTTATGTTGTATTTCCAGACCCTGCTTATAGGTAAGACAAAGCTCTATATGCATTTCCAGCTTCTAACATAACATTATGTACATGTTGAATCCAGTCAGTCTCTTCCAGTATTGGCGGGGGAGCTAAATGGATGGTGAACAAGATCAAAGGTATGCAATGTCTATTCTGTATTTTCTAATGGCAAATTATGTTGTAGCAAATATCCATATGGTATACTATATGGTATACTGCTGGTACAACACTCCAGCAGTATTTAAAAGTTAACTATTGTAACTTCATAAGTATGGCACAATATATTTCTTAGTATATAAATTTCGATGAAGCTCATTAGCTGATGCAAATTGATATCTAGTATGGATAGAAAATAGCAACCTTTGATTACACTTCATAACTAAATGTGACTTCTTAAAATTGTGATTTGTATGTGGTTGTGGTTTATTTACATTTCCGATATTTTTGAAAGCTGTTTGTAATATTGAGCAATGACCATCTATAATTTTAAGGCGCTAACACATGCCCCCTCAGTTTCATACTGATAAAAAGATGTATTTTTTTAGAGCTGCGCACACAAATTTAGAGTGTTGGTGACATGTCTATATGGCCTATCTCTTTTTCGTCACAAAGTCATTAAGTTCTCCTTTTCCTCCACAAAGCAAGGCCTTGCAAGCACACTCTTTTTTATGACATTTTTTAAGGGCAAGTAGGAAGACATTGGCTAAAATTGCATTGGAACTTTGGAAGTGTAGAAGGACAGCTATTTTGACAAACTTGGAGAGGCTAAAAGGACGCTTGTTTAGAAACGGTGGGAGTAAGAGAAAACCAAGACATACTCAGATAATGAAAACACATGACTTACCAGTTATGCACCATCTTTTTTATGGATAAAAAATAATAGCAGATTGTTTATTTTATTGGAGTAAATCTGGAAGGGGCAACATTTGTTAGTTTTTGGAGCTGTACAAGGTTTTGACGAGTGGACTAGTGGTGCCTTGCAGGAAAATATCCACTCATATTTCATATGTCCTCTGGTCTAGTACCCAGTTAATGCTGGTTCCTTTATGTGATAATCAAAAGTGTGGATTTAATTGTGTTCACTAGAAACAAAGCACTATCATGATGATGTATTCTTGAATACCAAAGGCATGTCAGAATCATCCCGAAACTCTGGGATGAGTTTATGCCTTATCGGCAACCCTAGTTGTTGTATTATTTTGTTTGCTTTAAATGAACATCAATTTCAGGTGACATATTTTGATTGCTCAAAATGTCAGTTTTGGTAACCATGAGTCACATCTATGTGAAATAATGCTAGTAAAGGTCCATCTGCATTGCGTGCAAGGTGTTACATGAGAGATTACTTTGAGGGTCGTGTTCATGTTCTTACTCTGGCTCCCCATCTTTTTATATGCATAGCCGCTTGTTGTTTTGTTCCTTTCTCTCTGTCTGATTGTTTTGCAACAAAAAATGCTTCTGAAGCAAGCAAAATAGGCAAAAGCTTTTGCACGTTGAAAAAGGCTGAAATTTGCGATGTTTACTGATCTTTTTCTTCAAAATACTAATGTTTGCTGACCTGAGTACAACATATCTTGGTCGCAGGGAAGCTGCAGAAAGCATTACCAGATCTTCTCAAAGAATATGACATGCCAGCAGGCCTCTTCCCACGGGACACAACTAATTACGAGTTCAATGAAGAGACAAAGAAGCTGACAGTGTACATCCCGTCAGCTTGTGACGTCGGGTACAAGGACTCATCGGTGGTGCGGTTCTTCACCTGTGTGACCGGCTACCTCGAGAAGGGAAAGCTTTCCGAAATTGAGGGCATGAAGACCAAGGTGCTTGTATGGACCAAGGTGACCTCCATCAAGACCGAGGGCTCAAAGGTCCATTTCACTGCGGGCATGAAGAAGACCCGCAGCCGCGATGCGTATGAGGTTGTCAGAGATGGCATCATCATAGACAAGTTCTAGAGCATACCTGTACCTGGGCTGACAGGTGCAATGTAATTACTTAGATATGCTACATTGAAATCTGTTGTGCTATCGGATCGGCCTAACCAACTGTGTTGCTGAAAACTTCCATCCATGACTTTTTCTATATCTTGACAATCTGTGCTTGTTTTGCTGTCATCCTGATTCTTCCACCAGACCAGAAAGGGTGACCGGACCAGGGCGCCATGTTGTATCCAGTTTTTAGTTTTGAATTCCTCTTGATCTTTGGGTGTGATGTGGCCTGTAAACGCCATCAAGTTTGGATGCAGGTGGCAATGCAGGAAATGGGGAGAAAAATAGATTATGGGTGTGATTTTTTGCTTGTTTTCTGGCGGAGGGCTTCATCGGCCTCAAACAGTGCTTGTGCTTTAGTCTGTACTCTACTCCCTCCGTCCCATAATATAAGAGCTACTAGTGTAAAAAACGCTCTTATATTATGGGACGGAGGGAGTACACTTTTGCTTGTTATCTGATTGATTGATGCTTTGCACAACACATTGTACCCTTGTCCGTTTTGTTTGTTGCTTTTTGGCCCGGTAGATGACTTTGTTAATTCAAAGTTGGTTGTTGGTCGTTGTAATTTTATTTTGGGCGGTACATGACTTTATTCATTCAAAGGTGGATCTTGAGCCTTAGTTCTAGTAGAAAATAAAACAAACAAATGCATATTACAACAGATAATCAACGCAGAACACTATGAACTGCCTAAACCTAGAGCTTGCAAACAGGAAATTGCCGAAATGCACACCGACGCACAACCATTATGATTTGCATATTGGATATTTGCAAAGCTTAGAAAAACACTCCCCTCTCTTTTCGCCGCCTCCTGCTACCCACCCATCACCTATACCGATGCTAGATCGAGGCCGCCGCTTCTCTTTCTCCCAAGTGATAGGAACAGAGATCAACTTGAGCGCAAACAAACAAGATAATCAAGAGAACAGGGGAAGCAGAGGAGTGATTGGGTTTCAGATAGCCCGAATCATGTCGCACATACAAGTTCTCTTGGACCGATCTAATCTACCAAGTAGCTAGGGTTCCAGAGCTAGTTACAATACTCGAAGAAAAAGATGATGCCCGATCCGATGCGAGAGCTACTTAAGGGCAGGCAATGACCGACGGTAAAGGTGACGGCAGTTAACTGAAGCGCAGTGAACAGGCTTCAGCTAACTGTTAAATTTGTCGGACGGTAAACAGAGGAGCTGAGCGGCGACGTGAGCCGTTGATCTGGCGAGCTTCAATTGTGGCCGTCCATCGAATCGTTCTCTTCCCTGCGCCGTTTCTTCAGTCCGTGTCGCTGTCGATTTCTTCAGTTATCTTCAGGTTCAGATTAGTAGAAGGGTCGTGAGTCTGACACCGAGTCCATCTCGATCGACCGTCTCCTGGTCTAGACTCTCGTTCACTCCCCATGGCCGGAGAAGACCCACTCCGCCGGGACACCGGACTCCTCCCTTTCAACTCGGACTATACAACTCCGACACCAACCCCCTACTCGAGGAACACGGAGGAAGATGCTATAAAGGCCTGCCGATCCCCTCAACTTCCTCCTCACATCGCACCACGAGATCAAGGATCCAAGGATCGTTTACCCACTTTCCAAGGAAAACAATCGAATCGAGACAAACTCGCGTCTCATCCCATGGCGAGCCAGGGCGACGCGAGCGGGAAGAAGGACTACTCCACGGCGATCCTGGAGAGGAAGAAGTCGCCGAACCGGCTGGTGGTCGACGAGGCGACCAACGACGAGAACTCCACCGTCGCCCTGCACCCGGACACCATGGACAGCCTCGAGCTCTTCCACGGCGACATCGTCCTGCTCAAGGGCAAGAAGCGAAAGGACACGGTCTGCATTCTACTCCCAGACGACACGTGCGACAAGACCAAGGTCCGGATGAACAAGGTCGTCCGGAAGAACCTGAGGGTCCGGCTCGGCGACGTCGTCTCCGTCCATCAGTGCCCGGACGTCAAATACGGGAAGCGCGTCCACGTACTCCCCGTCGACGACATCGTCCAAGGGATCGCCGGAAACCTGTTCGACGCCTTCCTGAGACCCTACTTCCTCGAGGCCTATCGTCCCCTCAGGAAAGGAGACCTGTTCCTGGTGAGAGGCGGCATGACGAGCGTGGAGTTCAAGGTTGTGGAGACCGACCCCGCGGAGTACTGCATCGTCGCGTCTGACACGGAGATATTCTGTGACGGCGAGCCTGTCAAGCGGGAGGATGAGGAGAGACTCGACGACGTAGGCTACGACGATGTCGGTGGGGTCAGGAAGCAGATGGCCCAGATCAGAGAGCTGGTTGAGCTCCCACTGCGCCACCCCCAGCTGTTCAAGTGCATCGGTGTGAAGCCTCCAAAGGGCATCTTGCTGTATGGGCCACCTGGGACCGGCAAGACCCTCATTGCTAGAGCTGTGGCCAATGAAACAGGGGCCTTCTTCTTCCTGATCAATGGCCCGGAGATCATGTCGAAGATGGCCGGAGAGAGCGAGAGCAACCTCAGGAAGGCGTTTGAAGAGGCCGAGAAGAATGCTCCGGCCATCATCTTCATCGATGAGATCGATTCCATAGCACCAAAGAGAGACAAGACCAACGGAGAAGTCGAAAGGCGTATCGTCTCACAGCTGCTCACTCTCATGGATGGGCTTAAGTCCCGTGCACATGTTATTGTCATGGGCGCTACCAACCGCCCGAATAGCATCGACCCTGCTCTCAGAAGGTTTGGCAGGTTTGACCGGGAGATCGACATCGGAGTCCCCGATGAAGTTGGGCGGCTTGAGGTTCTCCGGATTCACACCAAAAACATGAAGCTAGCTGAAGATGTTGAACTGGAGCATGTCTCAAGGGACACTCATGGGTATGTCGGCGCTGATCTCGCCGCCCTTTGTACCGAGGCTGCTCTCCAGTGCATTCGCGAGAAGATGGATGTTATCGACCTCGAGGATGACACCATTGATGCTGAGATACTGAATTCTATGGCTGTCACGAATGACCATTTCAAGATTGCACTGGGGACAAGCAACCCTTCCGCTCTTCGTCAAACTGTCGTGGAAGTTCCAAATGTCTCTTGGGAAGACGTTGGTGGTCTGGAGGGTGTCAAAAGGGAGCTGCAGGAGACCGTCCAGTATCCGGTGGAATACCCAGAGAAGTTTGAGAAGTTTGGCATGTCTCCCTCCAAAGGTGTTCTGTTCTACGGCCCTCCGGGCTGCGGCAAGACCTTGTTGGCCAAGGCGATTGCTAACGAGTGCCAGGCTAACTTCATCAGCATCAAAGGACCGGAGCTGCTTACCATGTGGTTTGGTGAGAGCGAGGCCAATGTGCGCGAGATTTTCGACAAGGCCAGGGGGTCGGCACCATGTGTCCTCTTCTTCGATGAGCTCGACTCGATTGCCACGCAGAGAGGAAACAGTGTAGGCGATGCCGGAGGTGCCGCTGATAGGGTGCTGAATCAGCTTCTCACCGAGATGGACGGAATGAATGCCAAGAAAACCGTGTTCATCATCGGTGCCACCAACAGGCCAGACATCATAGACCCTGCCTTGCTGAGGCCTGGGCGCCTTGATCAGCTTATCTACATTCCTCTGCCCGACATTGAATCCAGGCTCCAGATCTTCAGGGCCTGCCTCAGGAAGTCTCCTGTGGCCAAGGATGTCGACCTGAATGCGCTCGCCAAATACACACAAGGGTTCAGCGGCGCGGACATCACGGAAATCTGCCAGCGTGCGTGCAAATATGCCATCAGAGAAAACATTGAGAAGGACATGGAAAAGGAGAGGCGGCTGAAGGAAAACCCTGAAGCCATGGAGGAAGACGAGATGGATGAGATCAAGGCTGCTCACTTCGAGGAGAGCATGAGGTATGCACGCCGGAGTGTGAGCGATGCTGATATTCGCAAATACCAGGCCTTTGCTCAGACGCTGCAGCAGTCCCGTGGTTTTGGCAGCGAGTTCCGGTTCCCTGACCAGCCGGCGGCGGGTGCTACAGCTGCGGCCAATCCTTTCGCGGCCGCTGCCACGGCAGCTGAAGAAGATGATTTGTACAGTTAAATCGTGTGTTGTCTCTTGAAGATCATGTAACTATATTTTTACGTGCAGTGTTGTGATGTGTATATATGCTGAAGTTTGAAGATTGTATCCTCCACCTAAAAGAAAGAAAAAACCATTTCCTCTCGTCTCCTATTCCAGTTTGTGTGCCAAGGATATATCCATTGGCCTGTGGTAAAGTTATGTTGTTCTGTACATGCCCTATCAAAGGGTAATAGCAATTTAGCATTATACGCGGTGCCATTTTTCTCTTTGAAATGTACTAATTCGATTCCTTCTCCTACCTAATAAATCTTCTGTCATATAATGCTAAATAAACCTTCTGTCGCACTACACATTTTGTTGTTGCAAATGATTACCTCTACTGAGAAGTAAGAAATACCCCAGCCTCTCTCGAATGTTGGCAAATTAGTTCAGCATTACCTAAAAGTCTCTACAATGCACGAGTATCAAATTTTTGGATTCTCTGACAAAGTAACCGAAATAATTTGCAAGGCAGTAGATTATTCATGTTGGTATTAATTAGTTAGTTATTCACATAAGATCCTTTGGCATCTGCTGTCGCGTCAGCGGAAGAAGACGATGATTTATACTACAGTTGAATTTTCTGTTGTGCCATGAGCTTACTCTTAAGAAACACAAACCTTTGATGTCCTACTGTCTAGTGTCCACGAGTAGAGTCCAATCAGTGTGCCAGGTATCGGCATGTGGTAATTGTTGTCCCTGTAGATAGTACCTTTGCTGCTCCCTTAGATGCTCAGTATTGGCTTGTTTACTCCGATCCATTCACAATCAACATTGCTCCACCATTTCTGATGTGTGGGTGGGATGACCATGCTCTCAAGCTTTAACTTTGGAAGGACTTTTACCCCAGCTGTGATGGATTTTTGGTATGAGGTAGAGCAGATTGCCTCCAGCATTAACAAGGTCAAGGGCATGGCTGCCCAGAAATATCTGGCAATATACCGACAGCGGATTTACTCAACCATGGTTTAGCATTATACCTGAAAGTCTCTACAATGCACGGATATCAAATTTTCGGTTCTCCAACAAAGTAACCGAAATAATTTGCAAGGCAGTAGATTATTCATGTTGATATTAATTAGTTATTCACTGCAAGGCTCAGACCATGGACAATCTGAGAAGGGGAAACATGAATAAAGCAGAGGATGTTCAGAAACTGAAACTGTGCATCTATCACCTACAAACCTTTTCCTATTTCTGTCGTTCTTCCGTTCCTACGTTTTTATATCCTCTATTCCGAACAGGGCCTTGGATATGTTTTCTCTGCTAGCTTACATTCAAATCTGTTGTGCTATCTGATCGGCCTATTAACCAACTGTGTTGCTGATAACTCCCATCCATGACTTTTTCTATATCTCCACAATTTGTTGCTTGTTTTGCTGTCATCCTGATTTTTCCTCCAGACCAGAAAGGGTGACCGGACCCGGGCCATGTTCTATCCAGTTTTTAGTTTGAATTCCTCTAGATCTTGGGTGTGATGTGGCCTGTAAAGGTCATCAAGTTTGGATACAAGTGGCAATGCAGGAAATGGAGAGAAAAATAGATTATGGGTGTGATTTTAACTTGTTTTCTGGCGGAGGGCTTCATCGACCTCAAGGAGTGCTTGTGCTTCAGTCTCTACATTTTGCTTGTTATCTGGTTGATGCTTTGCACAACACATTTTATCCTTGTCCGTTTTATTTGTTGCTTTTTAAGTCATTGAAATTTTATTTTGACCGTTAGATGACTTTGTTAATTCAAAGTTGGATCTTGAACCTTAGTTGTAGTAGAATAAAAAACAAATGCATATTACAACAGATAATCAACGCAAAATACTATGAACTGCCTAGATCTAGAGCTTGCAAACAGGAAAATGCCGAAATGCGCACCGTCATGCACGCACAAGCATTATGATTTGCATATTTGCGAAGCTCGGAGCGCACTCCCTTTTCTTGGACCGATCTAATTCTACCAAGTAGCTAGGGTTCTAGAGCTGATTACAATACTTGAAGAAAAAGATGACGCGCGAGCTACTTAAGGGCAGGAAATGACCGACGGTAAAGGTGACGGCAGTTAATTGAAGCACAATGAACAAGCTCGAGTTAACTGTTAAATTTGTCGGACGGTAAACAGGGGATCTGAGCGTCGACGTGAGTCGTTCATCTGGCGAGCTTCAATCGTAGCCGTCCATCGAATCGTTCTCTTCCCTGTGCCATTTCTTCAGTCCGTGTCTCACTGTCGATTTCTCGAGTTAGCATGAAACGGTATTTTAGTCCTTGTCTCGCTGTTGTTTACTATATTACTTTGTTTTTAACAAGAACTGTGGGGAGCTCCAAACGGTATTTTAGTACAATATTTGAAAAAGATATACTGAAAAAACTCAAATATGTCAAACGCACATGCGCATACTTGTAACGTGACAGGAGAAATCTTCGTTGGTAGTTAGTTCAGGAGGTTCAGAAGGTAGTTTAGGCGTATCATCTTATTATCTGTTGTAACTAGCTAGGTCTCTCTCCTCCTTATCTTTCTCCCCGAGATGTACCTCCGATCCTCTCCAACTGATTGTATGCGCTATCAGGGTTATTGCGCCCCTGCTATATAACATGCAACATGTCCCCTCATACGAGGTAAGACGTTTCCGCCTATCGCACATGCTAATCAGAGCCTTCTTACTTCCCATCTAAACTCTCCACGATTCCAACTGTGCCTAGCCATGTCTTCCTCCTCCGGCGCCTTCCAACCTAGCCTCAATGCCCAGGTCACCGAGAAGCTTTCCCGCACGAACTACGTGTTGTGGCGCATGCAGATCACGCCTCAACTGCGTGGCGCCGGTGTCTTCGGCTAGTCGACGACACCTCACCGGAACCGGCCAAGCTCCTCTCCGCCAAGGACAAGGATGGCAAGGAGACCTTTGAGCCCAACCCTCTCCACCCTATCTGGGTTCGGGAGGATCAGCAGATGCTAGGCTACCTGCTGGCCAACCTCTCCACAGAGGTGCTCATCACATTGACCACGGTCACCACGGCGCATGCGCTCTGGACGACGCTGGCGAGCATGTACTCATCCCAGTCGCTAAGCCGCGTCAACAACATCCGCACCTCCCTCATTAATGCATAGAAGGGTAACCAATCCGTCGCTTCCTACTTCGCCTCCATGCGCGGCCTTGCTGATGAACTGGCGGCGGTCGGCAAGCTGATCCAAGATGATGAACTCATCTCCTACATCCTCCATGGGGTGGATCAGGAATATCAGCCCCTGGTCTCGGCCCTCGACGCCCGCGTCACCCTCGCCTCCCTCGACGAGCTCTTCTCCATGCTCAGCAATTTCGACCAACGCATGGCGCAATTCCACGGCTCTTGCAGTGGAGGCTTCAAGTCGTCTGCCAACGGTGCAACTCGCGGTCGTGGTGGTGGCTCTCGCTTGCGTGGCCCTTCCCATGGCAAGGGGAGGTGAGGTGGCGGTGTACACAGTGGCGGCAGCGGGCGATCTGGCAACAAGGAGCGTCACGGTGATGGTTCTGGCAGGTCACGCCCGGACACTCCGTGCTGTTAGATCTGCGGCAAGCCTGGCCAAACGGCCAAGGACTGCTGGTACCGCTATGATGAACATGACAATGACTCTCAAGATGAGGACAAGATCGCCGCGGCTGCAGATGGGTCCTACAGGATTCACACCGATTGGTATGTCGACAATGGCACCACAAACCATATCACCAGTGAACTTGAGAAAGTCACAATGAAAGAAAAATACCGCGGCAAAGATCATCCACACCGCCGGTGGAGAAGGTATGAAGATACGTCACATTGGTCATTCAATTTTTAGTACGCCTTGACGTAGAATTTATCTTAAGAAAATTTTGCATGTTCCTAGTACCAATAAAAATCTTCTTTCCGTTCATAGAATTACCATTGATAATCACGTGTTTCTCGAATTTCATCCTTACTTCTTTTTGATCAAGGATCAGGCAACGAAGAAAATCCTCTATCGAGGTAGATTTGTTCGAGGGCTTTACCTGTTGATTCCGGAGCGTAGAAGATTCAGTAAACAAGTCTATGGTGTCGTCAAACTTTCATCAACACGGTGGCATGATCTATTAGGACATGCTTCTTTTTCTTTAGTTGAGAGATTATTTAGGAAAAATAAGCTCCCGTTTGTTGGTGAGCGTCATATTGAAACAATTTGTGATTCATGTCAACGAGCTAAGAGTCATCAGTTACCTTATCCAATATCTACTAGTGTCTCCAAAAAACCATTGCAATTAATTTTTTCTGATGTTTGGGGTCCTGCCCCTAGTTCTGTTGGTAGACACACCTACTATGTTAGCTTTCTTGATGGCTACAATAAATTCTATTGGATCTATCTTCTTAAGAAACAATCAGATGTCTTTCAAGTTTTTCAAAACTTTCAAGCTTTTGTTGAACGCAAGTTTGACAACAAAATCATTGTTGTCCAATCTAATTGGGGAGGGGAGTACGAGAAACTAAACTCCTTCTTCCAAACCCTTGGCATTTCACACCATGTGTCGTGCCCTCATGCTCACCAACGAAATGGCTCCTCCGAACATAAGCATCATCATATCGTTGAGGTTGGGCTTGCTCTTCTAGCAAGAGCTTCTATGCCTCTCAAATTTTGGGACGAAGCCTTTCTCACTGCCGTTCATATTATCAATATGCTTCCTAGTCGTGTTATCAATAATGAAACTCCAGTCGAAAGGCTTCTCCACACCAAGCTAGACTATAAGTCTCTTCGTGTTTTTGGATGCGCATGCAGGCCCAATCTCCGTCCATACAATAATCGCAAACTCATGTTTCGCTCCACACAGTGCGTGTTCCTTGGCTATAGTGCACAACACAAAGGTGTAAAATGCCTAGATGTCTCAACAGGACGTGTCTACATCTCTAGAGATGTCGTTTTTGAAGAGAATAAATTTCCTTTTGCTGATCTTCATCCTAATGCCGGTGTCCTTCTTCGCAAATAAATCCTCTTTTGCCACCTCATAT